TATGTAAACTATCTAAAGCTAATTTAAGCATATTTAAATCCATAGAATCAAAAGCTTTAGAGATGTCTTGAGAAACGATCCATAGTTCCTGTTCATTAGTAGAGTCATGTTTTTGTTGATGAATAATCGCATCAAGCATTTTGATAGGGACATCAGTAGAACCGCCAGGTAGACCCGCAAAGTTACCTCCTTGAAGAATTTTACCATCAGCAAGGATATTAGAAAGACGATTAGTGACGACCTTAATTACACATTTTTGAACCGTTTCCAGAAGAGTAATAGGTCGAGTGTTCTTGAGTTGAGCATCAAATTCGTGGGGTTTAGAAATAGGATAAACCACAGCTTCACGCCAGTCAGCAGGAATATCACCGTGGGAAAGGCAGGTATTGGCAAGTAAAAGAGAGAAATCCAAGGCTTCACCGGACAAATGTTTAATCATCTCATAAGAAATTTTTGAAGGGCCGGAAGCTTTGTTATTTGGCATGGAGGAAATCACAGCAGACCATTCTTGTAGGGAAATAGGTGCCAAAACAGGATCATATGATGCAGTAGACACATTAGCAAGAGGAGTGTAAGCTTGTTGCCAGCGGGCGGGAAATGAAGTGATTGAGGAGTAGTGGACCAACGGAGGAGAAACAATTGATTGAAAATGAGAGATAGTAGCTTGTTTAATATCCGAAGGATCCGTTAATAAAGTTGGAGTTGAGTCCAGGACGACCAGGACACGGTCAAGAACAATCGAACGTTTTTCTACTGATAAGGCAGAATCTATAAAGGTGCCAAGCGAGTTTGAAAAGTGTTCGTCACGCAATGCGGTATAATATTCCACTGAGTCCGTAAGGTGTTGGGCGAATTTAGTAGATAAAAAGGCAGAAACTAAATTCTTCTGTGATCGTAAAAACGATTTAAATACAGATGCAGGAGTTGTAGAATAGGTAGGAACTGAATAATCAGAAAGTAAAGTTGCTAGATCGTCAAGATGGGAGGGCAAAGCAGCAGTCATTTGCGCAAGCTGAGTAGGCCGATTAGGATGATGAGTAGTAAGACGATATAAAAATCGATCTAAAAACTTGTTAATAGCAATAAGTTTGGTTAATTCAGGAGAGTACGAATGTCGGCGTGTATTGGAGACTTTATGAAAAGGTAATGTTTCTATTGCAGCACCAATTATGGCAGCTTTCAATGCATGCCACATACGATCAAGAGAAAGAGAGGAGAAATCAAAATTAAGGTAATATTGTCTATCTAAATAAACTCCAAGAGAATCATCTACTTCAGTGGTAAAATTATTCCATTGTTCAACTGAAGTGGAAGCGTAAGAGAAAATAGTACGCAATTCTTTTTTTTGTTTAAGACGAGATTTAGCCAAAATAGCCAGGCAAGAACTAAAGTCAAAAACAGTTATAAGAACTTTGTGATCGGTAAAAGGGCGATCAAGGAGATTTGGGCAAGTAACCACTTGCGAAAAAAGACCAGGAGCAGGAAAACCAGGTGAAGACCAGATATAATCAAGTCAAGAAGATCCATTATCATGAAAAAAGGTGGGATCAGGACCATCTGTAGAGGAGTGAGCTTGATGATCGGTAAAAAACTGAGAGGAAAGTAAACGAAGAAGTCTGAAATGATTGTGTGAATAGTTGGAATGAGCGACTTCATCAATATTAAAGTCGCCAAGAATAATTACAGAATAATTATTAGTTCTGGCATAATCAAGCCAAGAAAGAAGTTTAGCAATAAGATCATTACAAATAGATTGATGAACAGAACCAGAAGGGGGATAATATATAGAAATAATAGAAATTTTAGTTTGATGAAAAAACAAATCTAATTTAAGAAGTCGACCTTTCCACGGATCGATTGTTTGAACGTGTTTATGAAGAGGATTACGTAACAAAATACCAACACCATCATGAGGGCGAGAGGAAGATGAACAAGACCAATAGGACTTAAAGTGATGTTGGGAGTGTTCGTTTTTAAAAATAAATTTAGCATTTGAAGGGGAAAGTCACGTATCATTAATAGATAGGGCACCAAAGGAAGAGTGAAGAAAAAAATTAAGCAAATGTTGTTGTCGAACTGGAGAACATAAACCATTAACATTTATTTGACCAAATTTAATAAAAGGAGAGGGGTGAGGAGAAAAATTATGTTTTTTATTGTCCATCATTATTACACACTGATAAATCGGTAATAAAGAAGGGGGAGAAAAGAGGACAATTATTGATTAGCTTGGCCTTGTTGCCGAGCTAAGATGAGGTTGTTTTGTTGGATTCCTTCTTTAATTGAACCAGCCAAAGAGGCAACAGTATCAGAAAGAGAGGAGAGACGTTGTTCCATATCAATAGGGGAGGAAGGAGCGACGTTAGAAGGTGGAATGGGAGCAAAATGAGGAATCGGGGAAAAACCACTAGTTGATTGCAAAGGAGGAGAATTAACATCCACGAGGATATTATTATTGGTTTGATTCACTGTATCATCCCATCCTTGCATAGAGGAAGGGATGTAGGAAGAAGGTTTTGTGATAAAAGGTCCTGGAACAGGAGTACGAGCAGCCATAGCGGATTCCAAATTAGTAATGCGGCTGTTCATGGTAGCAAATTGTGTGGTAAGAAGGGCTAACTCTTCAACTACTTTTTCAAAAGCAGCACCAATAGATTTCCAATCGGTAAGCACAGTAGGAGGAGCAGGGTAAGTAACATCCATGCCGTCAATATAGTAATCAAGCTCTTTAGCATCAGGAATACGACGACGATAATTATTATTATTGTTGTTAAGATTGTCGCGATTCCATGGTCGATGTCGAGAACGGGAACGAGATTGTTGTCGGTTATTAGGTCTGGATTTAGAGCGATGGCGAGAAGCATTGGTACAGCTTTGTCCATCATTATTGTTATCAGGGCGAGCAAAACGGTTATGTCGTTTAGCAGGATGAGAGGGAGGTAAATGCTTGTTATACAAAGCACGTAATTTGTCATTAGATTGCCAAGGTCGAGAAGGGCGGTTTGGTCTAGATGAAGAACCACATCGATCAGGGTTACAGTGAGGGCGACCACATCGATGACAAAGAGAAGTAACTTCATCCGGAGAATGCCAGGTAAGGCCAACTTTCTTAAGGGCACATGAAATAGATTTAGCATTTTCCATAGCCGTTTCAGAGGCAAAATGGCAGTAGGCGTAAGGTTTGGGATTGTAAGAATTCATAGAGAAGGGAACATTGATAGATTTAGCGGAAATTTCATCAGCAATTTCAGCAAGATCAACCGCTATAGTACCACGCGGAAGACCGGCAAGTAGAGCAACATAAGCGCGTCTTTCAGCGCGTTGGTCAGGTGAGAAAGTAGCAGGGCAAATACGCAAACAATGTCCTCCACAAAGGACGCCCCAGGTGGAGTCGAGGTTCTGTAAAGCACCAGTAGATTCAAAGGTAATGTATGCAGTACGATAAAGTTTAGATAAACGGGTATGGCAGCGAGTAATATTGCCATAACGAGAAAAGGTACTACGCAAAAGAGCGTCAGTTATAAAAAGGGGGATATCGGTAACCACCAGGGTACGCGCGTGTTCGTCTGCCTTAATAGCCTGGGGGTCATATGCATGGAAATGCAAGCCAAACAAGGAATCCATAGCGGAAGCTGTGGCTTTGTCAAGATCATCCTTTTTTCGGAAGTGGACGATGATCCTCTTCAAATCGTTGGAACCACTACACGTGGCACGACTACCATAAGAGGGAAACAAGGAAAGTTGCCTATCAACCGCGTCGCACGCGTCGCGNTAATAGCCTGGGGGTCATATGCATGGAAATGCAAGCCAAACAAGGAATCCATAGCGGAAGCTGTGGCTTTATCAAGATCATCCTTTTTTCGGAAGTGGACGATGATCCTCTTCAAATCGTTGGATCCACTACACGTGGCACGACTACCATAAGAGGGAAACAAGGAAAGTTGCCTATCAACCGCGTCGCACGTGTCGCGGTTCGAAACGAAGTGAGTCCAAAAGCCTTCGACGTCATTAGAAGCAGCCGAGGCATAAAAAAGTGTAGGTTGAGACTGTACTGCAGCTTGGGACGCATCCGGGGAAGCAGCACGTTCAGGGAAGGATACTGCGGGAGTAATATCTGGGCTTTTGCCTTTATCGCTAGGGGCGTGTTGAGAGGCATCAAGAGAGGAGGTATCAGGTTGAGAAGGTAACTCAGCGGAAGAAGTCTCAAAAGGGCCAGGAGGAGTGAGAGGTTTATCAACATCCATGACAGAGTCTTCAGCACTGACTCTGGTACGTTTATTAGTAGAGGTGGTCAAAGGTGGAGTGTTCGAAGGACCAGACATAGAGGAACCTTGACCAGAAACGTTGCCAGTTGGAGAGCTAGAGGCAGGACGTTTAGAAGTAGTATCTTTGTTAGACTTGTTATCTTTCTTTTTGTTATCTTTACCCATTTGTAAAGTGTCGTAGTTATCTAAAATAAAGAAAATGTAAAGAAAAAATAATAAAAAACTTCAAAAAAAATTTTTTATTTTTTCCGTAAATATTGTCAAGTGAGCAGAACGGGAGAGAGTTAGTTTTATCCTTTTCCGATCACTGGCTGACGAGTTATTCAACAAAATGTTAAACATCGACATTATAATATTTCTTGATTTACGTTTACTGCATATCGGCGGATTTGTCTATCCTGAAATTATAGGTTAAAATAAAGATTTTCCTGAACAGATCATGCTCAGAATTGTACTGTAACACTAGTAAATCAGATGATAAGTTGTCATCTGACTAAATGACCAGCTGAAGTAAAAAATTTTTGTCGCGAACCAAAATTATTAAACAAAACATAGTCGTGTAAAAACCCATTTCTCTTACAAAAAACCCATTTCTCATATAACACCAAAATTTTTATCTTCCAGACTAACAAGTAGGTTTTTTTTTTGAATATATATCAATAAAAAAGAAAGGACTCGTCAAAAAATTTTATATATATTTATTTATTTGGGTTAATATTGAATTTTTCAGGTATAATGGCTTATATATTACCTCCTACTCCAATTTCGCCCATAAGTTTTACCGAAGATATTTTACAATGCTATATATGTAAAAAGACATTTAAATCTAAGCGAGGTTTAAGTCAGCATAAAGCAATTATACGCCAATATAATTCTTCTCGCGTAGGCTTTTACAAGCTTCCAAAAAATTTTATAAGTGAATTTAAAAAAACACTAGTTTTTTTAATTCATCGCCAACTTCCTTGTCATTTTACCAAAATTGGATTAAAAGCTGTCACTGTGGCCTGCACTGAAAGTCAGTTTTTTGCTACATTTGGTGGGAATATTCATCACTATTCTAACAAATCTCGTGTTTATAAGTGCATCTTTGGGGGCCAGATGCGTCAAGTAAGCTAGCGCAGGTCTTTGGTGATACAAATTGGGGAACCAAATTCTATCATGGAAATGAAGTAACTTCGGTGGTGACCAATCTTGATGATATAGATACAGAAGAAGAAAATCCTCTTGATCGGAAGCGAAAATTTAAAATTTATTCACAAAGGAACTCACGATATAAACGAGGACAAGTAATTATTGAATGGAAACCCCGACAAGAAAAGGATGTAAAGAGTAATAAATGTGAGGGTGGATTTTTACATATCCATTTCTGGATTACAAAAAAAAGAATAATAGATCATTAAGTAGATAAAATAAAAAAAAAGAAATGTAAAGAAATATATTTTTTTCTGGGTAAAAATAAAAGAAAAACTTTTTTTGCATGAGTAATAGGTTCAATTATAGAGAAAGCCAATAAATTAGGTATCTCCTTTCACCAGATTGTGTTACATCTTCAGTTGATCAATATTGAAAGAAGGTTACAAATTTAAAATAATTAAATATAGAAAATTTAATAGAACAAATTATTTATAATTTTTTTTCCGGCTAATGCATTTAATTTTTAAAAAGTACTATACATTACATGAATTGCATGTAGAAACTAGATTTGTATAAAATAAAAATAAACATATTAAAAAGACTTGGTTGTACAATCACCTAAATTAACGAGCTACGGTTTTGAATATACTAAAAGGTTTCGTTTGTGAAACAAAAGAATTCCCACCCATACATACTTGCACTCCCGCTTTTTATTAAAGTCTCAAAGTCTGGCTCGTAAGCTCATTAAAACTACAAAAAAGAAAAGAAAGAAGAAACGTTAATACGTTTCTCAAATCAAATAAAAAACCTCCCCCTCTTATACTTACTTTACTCACTCCCGCCTTCCATTAAATTCTCAAGTCCAGTTCGTTAAAGCTGGTATTCCTACAAAAAAGAAAGAAGAAACGTTAATACGTTTCTCAAATCAAAACAACAAAACCTCCCTCTTATACCTACTTACACTTCCGCCTTCCATTAAATTCTCAAGTCCAGTTAGTTAAAGCTGGTATTCCTACAAAAAAAAAGAAGAAACGTTAACACGCTTCTCAAATCAAAACAACAAAACCTCCTTCTTATACCTATTTATACTTCCGCTTTCTATTAAATTCTCAAGTCCAGTTCGTTAAAGCTGGCATTTCTACAAAAAAGAAAGAAGAAACGTTAATACGTCTCTCAAATCAAATAAACAGAACCTCCCTCTCATACCTACTTACACTTCCGCCTTCCATTAAATTCTCGTTAAAGCTGGTATTCCTACAAAAAAGAAGAAGAAACGTTAATATGTTTCTCAAATCAAAATAACAAAACCTCCCTCTTATACCTACTTACACCTTTGCCTTCCATTAAATGCTCAAGTCCAGTTCGTTAAAGCCAACATTCCTACAAAAAAGAAAGAAGAAACGTTAATATGTTTCTCAAACAAACAATAAAAAATATATACATGTATATACTCAATATACATGCCCGTTCTTCCGTTATATGTTTAAAGCTGGCGTTCCAGTTCGTCGTTGATTGTCTAAATGATTAGGAAACATATATTTTAAAGTTTTTTTTTTTTAAAGAAAAAAGTTTTCTATTTTGAAACGAAAAAAAAAGATTTTTAAAGTTTTTTTTAAAACGAAAAAAAAA